TTTATAAATATAAATAAAAAAAAAAAAACAAACCTGTTTAAGACCTTTTTGAGTTAATGCTGAACATTCAACATATTTAAAAGCACGAATTTTTTTACATAAACGTTGTCCTTGTTCACGTTTAATTGGTTGAAGATTTTGTTTTTGTAATTGATTAACAAAATCACGATCTTCACGTAAATCAATTTTTGTTCCTTAAATATTAATTAAATATCTTTAGAAAAACAAAAAACAAAAATTGTTTTTTTTTTTTTTTTTTTTTCTATGTACCACATAAAATAACTGGTGTATCAGGACAATGGTGTCGAATTTCTGGCATCCATTTATTTGTTATATTTGTAAATGATGTTGGACTTATAACACTAAAACAAAGTACGAATACATCCGTTTGTGGATATGATAATGGTCGAAGTCGATCATAATCTTCTTGACCAGCTGTATCCCATAGACCTAATGAAACTTTAACATTATCAACAACAATATTTGATGTATAATTATCAAAACTAAAATAAATAATTATTAGTATTATTTTGAAAAAAAACAAACAAACAAATAAATAACGTACACAGTTGGTACATATTCTTCAGGAAATGTATTACTTGTAAATGACATTAACATACAAGTTTTTCCCACTGTACCATCGCCAACAATTACCAATTTAATTGGAACACTTTGATGAGGATTTAATTTATTTGCCATAGAGCATAAATAATTAGACGATCGCTACTTTATTTCGTTGTATGTTTTTTTTTTCTATCTTTGACAACAAAATGATAACATCTAAATATGTAATATGAACTCAATTACAAATAGAAGAATCAACAATGAAAATCGAGAACATCGGACAGTAATAGTTACTGTATAATCACATTCTTTCTCTTATTTCTTTACTCGTTGATGCTAGTAGCGATCGATTCTCGTTTTTTTTTTTTCTCTTTTTTTCTTTTTGCTAATACTCGAAGAAAGAAGAAATGCAGAGAACATTAAGATGATCATCGTTTATAGCTAAAGAGAAAACTAGGAAAAAAGCTGTATATACATTTATGTACTAGATGATGATGATGATTTTACTGTTCTATGTACTTTTGATTGACAAGTTTCGGCCATAAGACGGAAAAAGAAGGAAGGAAAAAAATTTGTGCATATATGAATATACATACTAAACGATTGATGTATAATACATTATGGGTCAAATTACATCCAATAAAATTTTAGAGTTTAAAAGTATATATTTAAAAAGTAAAATAGAAAAAAAGGAATATTATTTTATTATAGAATAAGAAAAAAGAAATGTTCGAAGAAGTTTTGTTCTTTATTTTTTATTGGTTAAAAAATTGTCCAATCAAAATTTGTTTTAAGTCATTTGAGTTAAAGCAATTGATAATAACTAAAGACGCATTAATAGAATTTTTCGATTATGTATTCAATTTTGAGCCTTGGTATGTTTGGTAGTTTTTGTGTATACTTATAATGAGAAGATTTAAAAATTTATTTTAGTTTCTCGTTCATCGACAATATCATGTATTCGTCATTTAAAAATGAATACAAGAATGCCACGTTCACGACCAGAGTTACTTCGATTTATAGAAGATATTGCATTGCCTGTACTTGAAAAACCATTATCAGATCCTGTTGAAGATTGTTATCGAGAACAAATTAAAAATAAAATTCTTCTTGATCAAGAAGATATTGAACTTGTATGATTATTATTTTCTATTTAATTATTTCTCTTTATCTTGAATATTACGTAGAAATATTAATCATTTAAAGAGCTAGGAAGAAACAATTTTTAGTCGATTATAATCTTTTTTATATTCATATGTTAAGGATATTACTTTAAATAAAAGTAAACAAGACACGATTTGATTAGGCATTTGTTTTTCAAGAGCTAAGACTATTAAACATTTGTTTTGGTTTAGTATAAGATAGTTATAAAGATGCATATGTAAACTTTTGATTACATTCATATGTCCGTCAACTATTAATAAAAAGAAAATTTTTTTGAAGATACTAAAACAAAGTTTTATGAAAAAGGAAGCAGTTCAGTTAAGAATTTTTCATCATACGTAAATGCAAGGTAGTTTTATAAATGTCTTGCTATTAGGAAGTTTCACAAAATGGTATTCTTATTAAAAACCTCTTTGAATAAAAATTATCAAAAAGCTTTCATAATAATGATTTCGAAGAAGAAGACTATAAACATGGCTAATTATTGAATTACATTCGTTTTCTTATGCTTCTATAAAGAAATGTTTAATAGAATAAAATTTTTGCATGTATTGTGAGACAAATTTATCTTTTGATTGATTCACTTTTAAATTACGTAACATCAAAATCATAGCAGGATTTCCTGTTCAGGAATGCACGAATTGTTCATTTTCTATACTGAAGATTCCTATTGTATATTATATAGAACCGAAAAAAATTTTCAAGTGAGACTTATTGAGTTTGTCTCGTTCTATCGGATGCTATTGTCTTACTTGAAAAAATATGATTAACTCTTTGATTACCAGCGTACTGTATAAAGTACGATTTTTTTCATTTTTGAGCTGCTTGCAAAAGCATGAATAGTGAAAAAAAAAACACAAAATAAATGCAATGATTTAGTGTTCGAGTGAAAGCAAAGTGTTCTTGACGATCTTTTACATATGAATATTTTTCCCTAAATTTTCTTTATTATATTATTAGATCAGTATGACGAGTATTAATCACAGACGATATAGTAACATTGTCAGCTCTTGTCTTCCTATGTATGTCACAACAGTGAGTGCTTGTTTTCAATAAACTTCTCTAGCCATGCACAGAGTTAATCCTTATATTTTTGTATGAATAATCTAAAAACATTTTTGAGTTTTCGAAGCAATGTTTTACCGAAAATAATATCCATGGGTTGAGGTATAAATATTTTTTGAAAGAAAACACTTCTATTTTAGTAAATATTATGAACTAACAAGTTGAATTCATATTGTAGATAGATAAAAGTCAGGAACTATCAGGACTATATGATAAAAGCAATTAAACTTGTTAGATGATCAGCATTCAGTAACAACAATAATCACACAAACTTAGAAATTTCTAGCGATTATGATCGAGCAATAGCACTGGAAATTCACAGCTGAGTGACTATGTTGTTGAATCTGCTGCTATATGCAGCAAGGTAGCTGAAAGACAAAGTTCTTCTTTTTTTTCTTTTTACACTTCCCAATTGTACTTTGACAAAAGTGTCAGATTGCACGATCGAAGTCGAACAAATATCATTTGAAGAATTGAATCTTAAGTGTGAAAAAAATAATCAGAAATTGATATAACTCTAATTTCTTTCACTAAAGTACTCGAGATTTTTTATAACATCCTACGCTTCAAATAGTTTGAAAAGAATAATATTTCTTAACTATGTTGTTGTCATAAACGACAAAAACTCATTCATGTCATACTATTAAATGAAATGATACATTAGTTAATCACTTATCTAGAATTAATCCATTTTCTGTTTGTGTGTATATTCATTCTTGCTTAATCAAATAGGTTTTACATATGTTCTCGAACTTTGTGGATATTTAATCTTTATTTTTCTAGGCTTCTGAATATGATCAATTTCGTGCACGACGGTTTCGTGAAATGCTTGAGTCAAGTCATGTTGTTTTACTGTGTCAAGAGGTTTGCATTATTCCACCAAGTAAATAGATTTTTATAAAACAAAAAATAAAGTGTTCTAAATATTGTTTTTTTAGTTCGATATACAATTGCAAAAATGCAATTTATGAAAAACGGATTTACATTTATAAAATTTCCACGAATAGTTCCACAGTAATTATTTTAAAAAATAAAAGCCAAGAAATATATACAGGATGTGTCAACAGCCACTTTACCATACAAAAAACTAGAATATCTCTACCATAGCTTGACTAAATCAATAGATTTTTTACTAATGATAAAGAAGTGTGTCCATTGGCGGGCCGGACCATAATTTTCAGGGGGGGCAATAAGCACTTTTTCGCTTAAAAACGCTTGTTTTCATGGCGTTCTCCTTAAGTCCCAGCCAAAAAAATTTTTTACGGGGGGCAATTGCCCCCTCGCGCCCCTATGCCGGCCCGCCCATGAGTGTGTCTCATAGTTCATATCTATGAGAAAAGGTTGGAAAGAATCGTTTTTGAAGTATCACTGTGGGCTTCAACAAAAAGAAATTCTCATCTCATAGACAGTACAAAACTCAAAGTGAGTGTGGATGAATGCATTGTTTTTACTCATGTTTACACCGACACTCTCATCCAATAGTAATACTTCAAAACAGTTCTTTCCAATCTGTTTACCATAAATATGAACTATGAGCATTCCTGTATCACCAGGAAAAAAATCAGTTCATTTAGTCAAGCTATGGCGAATATATTCATTTTTTTTTTGTACGGTAAAGTAATATTTGATCTATTCTATGTACATATTTTTTGCATTTGTTTCAGTTTAGCATTAGCAAATGATACTCAATATGAAAATTTTCTTCCACCAATTTTGTCATTTGGTTTTGAAACAATTTATTTATTTCATAAAGAGAATAATTTGTCATTAGCATTTAAATTACTGAAAAAATATCGAAATAATTTATTATTAATTGGTAAAAATAAAAAAGAAAAAAAATCAATAATATTTTTTTTCTTATAAATAAACTTTTTTGAAAAATTTCAGGTGGTCTTGTTGATGGACGTTTATATAATCGAGCTGGCCTTGAAAATCTAGTACAATTACCAAACATTGATTATTTTCAAGGTGAACTTGTTTCAATAACACAATTGCCTAGTAGTCGAACATTATCATTAGCAAATCATCCAGCTCGATTACTTAGCCATTATTTAGATACATATGTTAAATCTCAACAAACAAAAGCATAATTTGTTTTATTATACGTTTTGTTTTTGTTTTGTTAAGAAAAGAAAAAGGAAATGATAAAAAAAAAGAGAAGATTAGAGTGTTTTTCTTACAAATGTTATCTATTAGAATATTTTCAGATGGCTGGTTCGGCATTACGACGGTTAATTGCTGAATATAAACGTAAGAATAAAATTTATAAATGAAAAAGAAAAAACAAAAACATTCAATTTGTGACCTGTTATAGAATTAACAAATAATCCACCGGATGGAATTTTAGCGGGACCTATTAGTGATGAGAATTTTTTTGAATGGGAAGCACTTATTACGTTAGTATAATAAGAAAATATTTCATAGAATAGTTTATTTTTGTTTAATTAATAGAGGACCTAATGGTACACCATTTGAATTCGGAGTCTTTATTACTCGTCTTCATTTTCCAAGTGATTATCCATTAAGTCCACCGAAAATGAAATTTGTTAGTGAAATTTTTCATCCAAATGGTATAATAAAAGATTATATAAATATTAGTAATTTATTTATTTATTTATTTATTAGTTTATCCCGATGGAAGAGTATGCATTTCAATTTTACATGCACCTGGTGATGATCCAATGGTAAGATAATCGAAATTTTCAATAGAAGTATTCGTAGAAAATGTTATCATACTTAAATGTCAACTTATGTTGATCAGTGCTCTTAGAATATTTGAAAACCAAAAAGAAATAAGAAGTCGAATATAATCTCAAATTTATTAGTTAACGTAGAAGAAGCTTGATGTATCTCTTGAAATAAAGGTAATTAGAGAGATGTAGATCTACGTTCTTGTAGATTCGAAATCAACAGATCCAGCATTAAACCTGATCAGGTCTTGACCTTAGCTTTTTTCTCAGCAATATCTGCTATCTTTTATATAGATGATCAAGAATTCAGCTATTTGTTGACTACTTGCAGATAAAACTCTTAGTCAACTGATTTTTTGTTGTTCACCATCTCATCGTTTGATTTTCAATGCATTTAAAGTTTTCACTTAGTCGAAATGAATGCTATGTTATTCAAAAAGAAAATCTAGCAAACTATTGATAATTAAATAAGTTTCATTATTAAACATTGTCAAATTAGTAGTATCACCAAAATTTTTAATTGTATAGAATATTTTAGTTATATTTATTGAAATAATATCAGAAAAGAATGCTGTGTAGAAAATTTCGTGTTCACATTTTTGTGAACTCAGATTTAGATACGATACAAAGTAAATCTTATAGGCTGAGTCTGGTTCGAATTTGTGTCTGAAAAGACGCGCAGCTTTTTAATGATAACTTTTCTTAAGTTAATGTGCAAATACGTATGCGCGAATTATGTTCTGATCTTAAACATTTTCGGACAAATATAAATAATATCCTTCACTACATTTTTGTAGTGGGATTCAAACTCAGGTAATCAAACTTTATCGGAGGAAGATAGAGATTTATGGTTGCAGTATATTGACCATCGACGTTATCGATTCAGTGTAGTTAATGTACACTAACTATACGGATACACTGAAGCATACCGCTAAAAAAGGACATATTTTGACAGAATAGGTGTCTCAATATTGCAGCGAATGCGGATATTAGTATAGCCAATGACTCACTGTAAATATTTCAGTATTTACATCAATATTACACATCACTAGATCGGGATCTGAACTTTGAGTTGGTCTGAAACTCGAATCTGGGACTAACCCGATGAATTCTAATCTAGATACATTCTTTTGACTAAATATTTTTTTTAGGGCTATGAAACAAGTGCTGAACGATGGAGTCCTGTACAAAGTATCGAGAAGATTTTACTTTCAGTAGTTTCCTTACTTGCTGGTAAGCATATTTTAATCCTAATCTTTAACGTTTATATCTTATTCTTTTATAGAACCAAATGAAGCAAGTCCAGCAAATGTTGATGCTGCAAAAATGTTCCGAGAAAATCGTGAAAAATTTGATGAGACGGCAAAACGTAGTGTTCGAAAAACATTGGGACTTTAATTGATCTTCGTTTGTTTTTTGTTAATCTTCAAATTCTTTTCCTTTTATTCACAGTAAAAACTTGGCAATAGGATCTATGTCTTTTTAGATGATTTTTTCTCGAAATTCTTATTCAATTATTAATTATATTTCACGTCGAGTGAGTTGCTGTTTCTTGTTGTTTATCTCTCTCTCTCTCTCTAAATGTTGTTATGAATAATATTTGTATAGTTTGTTCAAAATCTTCCACGTAATGTTCAACTCGAACTTGATCCAGATGTTAATAAACAATTAACATCTGATAATAGAAAATTAGCATTCTTTAAAGAACATAAAGGAAAATTTAGTCATAAAAGTACTTTACCAAAACAACTTGAAGAAACAATAAATACGATTCTATCTGGTAAAGTTTTTGTTTCTTTTTTGTATTCATTAAAAAACAATCGAATATTTTGTTTTTATCTAGATATTGAACCACAACGTCTTAAAACCGACATGAAATTACTTGCAGATCATTTAGCTGAACGGCGTTTACCAATTGAACAACGGGAATTACAAACTATAGCACAAAATGTTATACAAAATTTAATAAATAACGAACGTAAATATTTCACAGAGAGGAAGGAGGTTGATTATTTGTTGAAATGAAAATCCCAGGAGAAATTTAATTTCTTCTATGTTAAACTATTATACAAAGTGGTAGGAAGTGAGCTGCGGTAGAATAAGTCATATAATACTTATTTGCGCTATGCACAGGTCTATTGAAATAGTCAATGATCGTCACATAAATATTGAACTCGACTGTTAATGATAATCACTCCTTTTTATCTATCTATCTCATTAGCGATCAGATCATTTTCATATGATTCGATATTATTTTTCGAGTTCTTCAAAATGGTATAAGAACATCGAGAAAAAACTCATTGATCGTACAAAGAAATCTTAAGGATGCTGTTCTCGAGACAGAGTTTCAAGCCTATTTTACTGGCATTCAGTAAGTTTCGATATGAAAATTACGATTCAAATAAAAATTAATATGATGTTCTTAAAGAACATCTCAAACTGAATGAAGCTATATGTATTTCATATATTTTCGTAAAGGACCCCGCCGGATTTCAAAACTTATTCATTTCGAAAAACAAACTACATAGTTTTGTAGAGCTCGAAAAGTTACATCTAGTGATATATAGAACCGCTTTGTTTTTAATAAATTTCACGAATTTTTCCCATATAGAATATAATTTTAAATAGTCAAATATTTAGGTTCACAGCATTATACTATTAGATGGGAATGGTCCTTATCACAAGAAAATAATAATTATTGTCTTACTTGGTTTTGTAGAGCTTTTTTCGCTCTACAACTTTGCTTATTTCATTATTTCGTTTGAAAGAAAAAAAAATTTTTTTTTATAGAAAATATCAAAATTTTTTATCAAAAATTCAGAATTTCAAGTCTTTTGATACTTTTGTGATCTTTCATTCTTCTTCAAGACATAGTGGTAACAACGTGATTTTTTCTCAGAAACTGTGCCTAGTTGTGGTCTTTCATCAGTGATAGAGAACGTATTAAAAATCGAAGGATCTTTAGAGAAACATAGTCAACACTAGAAGAAACACCCATATTTTTAGTGTTTTTCAGACATATTTTTTAAGACTTTGACCGATTCTCACTTTAGGAGTTGACTTCCCATAAAAACAAATGATACATTTGAGATCAGCGTAAAAAACTGAGTCGATCCACGTATATTACAAAATGATTTGACTACTTTGATTTTCCTTCAAAAATTGAGCTGAGGTACCCCTCAGGGTATGGTCAAAAAATGAATTGAACCAAAACTGCAGACTAATCATTAAAAACTACGTATAAAACTTAAAAAGTCAAGAGCATTCGCAATGACCATTGAATATACAAGAAAAACAATGTTTTGACTGAATTTCGTTTTTGACCATACCCTGAGGGGTACCTCAGCTCAATTTTTGAAGGAAACTCAAAGTAGTCAAATCATTTTGTANTGATAAGGACCATTCCCATCTAATAGTATAATGCTGTGAACCTAAATATTTGACTATTTAAAATTATATTCTATATGGGAAAAATTCGTGAAATTTATTAAAAACAAAGCGGTTCTATATATCACTAGATGTAACTTTTCGAGCTCTACAAAACTATGTAGTTTGTTTTTCGAAATGAATAAGTTTTGAAATCCGGCGGGGTCCTTTTTCTTTTCGTCCAAAAGTTCATCTCTGGTTGCTTCTAGGATTTGGTTAAAAAATGAATTTCATTGAAAAGTTGTATTGATAGTTTGAATCATGGTCTAAAGTTACAAAACGATAGTAAAGCCATCAATAGCAAATGAATAATCAATAAAAATAGAGTTCTGAAGAAATAAACTTTCTGACTCATCCTGAGGGGAACCGGTGGTTAGAAATATCATATTAACGTTCTGCCAAATCGTAATTTTCATATCGAAATATAATGAATAGTAGTAAAAAAGGCTCAAAAGCAGTATCGTTAATATTTCTTTGTACGATCAGTGTTTTTTCTCGATGTTCTTATAACATTTTGAAGCGCTTGAAAAGTGATATCGAACTATATGAAAATAGTCTGATCGCTTATATGATGGATAGATAAACAGCATTGATTATCATCAATAGTCACGTTCAATATATATGTGACGACCACTGACTATTTCAATCGATCTCTGTATAGCTCAAATAAGTACGATATGACTTATTGCATCAGAGTTCATCTGCAGACATTTTCTGTGATAGTTTAACATAGAACAAAGTAAATTTCTCCAGGGGACCATTTGCAACAATAATCGATTTCCTTTCTTTTTATATTTATTTTTGTTTGTATGTTTTTTTTTTCTTTTTGTAAAGCACCAATCAATACATTAGCAATGAGTCCTGAACAACGGAAAGAATTGAATCTTAAACGACAACATGAATTAGTAAAACGATTAAAATCATCAATTTATCATTGGCAATCGTTAACGTAAAATTGAGCACACATTAAAAAAACAAGAACTTATTTTATATTTTTTAGCTTTGATGAATATAAATCTAAAATATATATGGCAACTAATTTTGCATCACATTATGCAATGCTCGTACAAATTTTTAATGAAGTGTGTTTATTAGTAATGGGTGATCGAAAAGTTTTTAGACAAAATGCTTGTTTATTTTTGTCCCACTAGAAATTATGTCTGATGAGTTAGGGTCAAAACTTTGTACTCTTTTCGAATACAGACTTAGAAATATTGCATCTATTTTTGTTCAAGAATGCTTAGAGATGTTTTTTAAAGGCCTGAAAATGATGAGCCAATAGGTTTTTGTTTACCCTATAAGTTTCTTTTCAAATATGCTAAAAATTATCGGAGTCGATTGTTTTATGGAGCAAACATTTGTCTAGTATATCGGATATTAAAATAAGCTTTAGCTTTCACTCAAGTAAAGTTACAAGTATTTTTTCCACAGTACCTTTCAACGTAAAATGGTTGTTGACTTTTCATAAATGAGTTTTTAAGAAAACCAAAATTTAAGTATCTTGCCGAAAGACAAAGAAACATCAAACAGTACATTTTTTAAAGTAGCTTCTGATATACAAGCTGATTTATATAAATAAAGATTCCAACGTGTCGTTTCGAATCACAATAGTGGAAACATCAAAATCTTCTGTTCAAACTAAATTTTTTTTTCGATTTTTCAAAGATTGTTTCACTACACTTGAACGAAAATTAAGACAAAATTTCGAAGCCTATATTCGAAAATAGAATAGAAATTTCTCTAAAAACATTCCAATCACCCGTTATCGAAATCATATCTGTAAAAATTTCTCTTCAAAAATCATTTAGATTAAAAAGCGAGAACGAAATTTTCGACCTGTCCGTTTATTTGATTTCGGATCTGGTGCTGGTTCTGCTATGTGGTAAAATATATCTTTAAAATTTTTTTTTCTTAATTTCTTTTAATTTTTATTTAAAGGGCAGCTATGCATGTATGGGGTAAACAAGCATTTGCCGAAATTCTTAATGTTGATAAATCACGTGAAATGAATGAACTATCTCAATTAATATTACAAGGTGGTCAACATAATAAAACACCACTTATACATGGTGTTGTCTATCGACAATTTATGCCACATGGACGTGAAGTATGTTTTATATTGATTTCTGTTTAATCTGATTTTGTTTAGAATATATTTGATCTTGTTGTTGCTGATCATACGTTATTTGAATTTGAAAATCGTTTTGAACGTTTAAAAGCTGTTCAATCATTATGGTATAATGTTAAGCCTGGTGGCTTTCTGGTAACATTTTTTTTAAGAGAAAAAAATTATTTAATTCAATCATTTAGTTTAGATTCTTGTTGAACAAGGTACTATTCATGGTTATACAGCAATTATTGAAGCTCGTGAAAATCTTTTACATGTAAGTTGTCTACTAAATTATGTAGATAAAGAAAATGTTTAGTATCAAATTATTTTATTGATTTTGATAGTTATCAAGTTAATAATTAGATCAAATAGAAGTGTATTTCTATTGTACATAAGAAAAAGACATTAATGACGAAGAAGAAAACATATGCTTGATTCTAATTAACAGAAAAGGCATCTATTTGATTCTATGTGCTTAGAAAATAGAGTTTGTAAGATGATCAGCTGAGGACATAGTTTAAGAAAACTACATATTACGGAAACATATGGAAAGCAAATGAAGGAAAAATAATTGGTACGCTATAAACTATGCATAGAAAAAAAAAAAGAGGTAATTGAAAGTAAATAGTATGAATCACTAAAAAATGTATCGACGAAACAACATCTTGAAGACTCATATATTTAATGTAAGCATCGCTATAAGATCATATGTAACTAAGACTAAATATACGACGTATAACGTATATTTTGCTTTCTATAATCTTATGATATCTTTTTAGCGTATTGCTGTTTTTGATGAAACAACAAAGAAGAATGACGATGAAGCACATAATGAAGAATCATCGACAGAACAAGATGACTC